TTACTGTCTCAATGCGGTGTGGCATGGAAGCCATCAGCCTGTGGCACTGCTGAGGTGTTATGGAAGACCAGGATGCTTCAATAGCGGACTTCAGCTCTTCTGCATTGTTCGGTCTCATGTCTCATCTCTTTCTCTTGGCAATGGCCCATAGATTCTCTATGGGGTTCAGGTCAGGCGAGTTTGCTGGCCAATCAAGCACAGTAATCCCACGGTCATTGAACCAGGTTTTGGTGCTTTTGGCAGTATGGGCAGGTGCCAAGTCTGCTGGAAAATGAAGTCAGCATCCCCATAAAGCTCGTCTGCGGAAGGAAGCATGAAGTGCTGCAAAATCTCCTGGCAGACAGCTGCGTTGACCCTGGACTTAATGAAGCACAGTGGACCAAACACCAGCAGATGACATGGCTCCCCAAATCAACACAGACTGTGGAAACTTCACACTGGACTTCAAGCATCTTGCAGTGTGTGCCTCTCCATTCTTCCTCCATACTCTGGTTCCTTGGTTTCCAAATGAGATGCAAAAGTTGCTCTCATCTGAAAAGCTTTGGACCACTGAGCAACAGACCAGGTCTGTTTTTCTGTAGCCCAGGTAAGACGCTTCTGGCGTTGTTTGTTGTTCAGGAATGGCTTGACAAGAGGCATACGACATTTGAAGCCCATGTCCAGGATCGGTCTGTGTGTGGTGGCTCTTGATGCACTGACTCCAGCCTCAGTCCACTTTTTGTGAAAGTCCCCAACACTTTTCAATGGCCTTTTCCTGACAATCCTCTCCAGGCTGCGGTCATCCCTGCTGCTTGTGCACCTTTTTCTTCCACACTTTCCCCTTCCACATATCTTTCTATTAATGTGCTTTGATACAGCACTTTGGGAACTTCCAAATTCTTTTGCAATTACCTTTTGAGGCTTTCCCTCCTTATGGAGGGTGTCAATGATGGTTTTCTGCACAACTGTCAGGCCAGCAGTCTCTTTCCCATGATTGTGATTCCTACTGAACCAGACTGAGAGACCATTTAAAGGCTCAGGAACCATTTGCAGGTGTTATGGCTTAATTAGCTGATTAGAGTGGGACACTGAGCCTAGAATATTGCACCTTTTCACAATATTCTAATTTTCTGAGATTATGGATTTGGGGTTTTCATGAGCTGCAAGCCATAATCATCACAATTATGACAAATCACGGCTTGAACTATCTTGCTTTGCATGTAATGAGTCTCATTTGTTTCACCTTTTAAGTTGCATTATCAAAAGAATATATCGTGCAAACGTTTATTTTATAACTTTTTGAGTTTCACCTGTATTTACCCATCCTTTCCCTTGTGAATTAAATGTCCAATCTACTATTCGTGATACAATCACTGCTAGATAGTAATTCCTTACATTGGGTAAGCCCAAACCCACATTCCCTTTTACTCTACTCACGACAATCCTAACGGATTCTTGGTTTCTTATTTGCCCATATAAATTTAGTAATCTTCTTTATTAAAATTAACATTTTTTGAGAGCCCAATTGACACTCATTTTGCCCCTTTAAATGGTGAGTCAGCATAATACCACACTGGATAATACTTAGAGTACAGTTTGACATTTGTATCTCGGTTAAATGTGTTTCTAGAAAAAATACTACTTCTATAGTGTGTTGATGGATTTCCCTGAGTATCTTATGTCTTTTTTTAATCGGGGAGATCAGCCCTTTCACATTGTAGGTCATGAACTTAAACTCATTTTTATTATAGTTACGTTGGCCTACTAGCTTTCCTTCAGGAGAAAACAGATAAACAGTTTAGGGATATGGATGCTCACCCTTCAACTAAAACATCCCCCTCTGACCATCCTTCAAGGTCCATTTTCTGTAACTCTAATTTCTCACAAAAGTCATTAAATCCTTCTGGAAATCTCAGTCTCGCCGATCTTCTGTCTTTCCACCCGATTGGACAAGCAGGAAGACCCCAGTTGTATCGCACTTTTTTTCTCTTTCATATGGGCTAGTAGCGGTTTCAAAAGATCTCCTTCTAGCCAGTGTCTCTGGGGAGATGTCAGCAAAAATATGCAGGGTTGTTTCTTCATATTTTATTTCAGTACAATCCCGCAACTTTTTCCATATTCGCTCCCTATCACCAAAGTGATGGAACCGGACCAATAACATAACAGGGTATTTCTGTTGATATTCCTTTTTGCCGTCTAACCCTATGCACGCTTTCAATTTTTCTGCAGTTGACTTTCCCACAACTGGATTACAGATTCTCTCCACTTTCTCCTGAAGATCTTCTTCCTGTCCCTTATCTTCTGGTAGGCCTCTGATCCTTAAATTATTTCTTCCATTTCGGTTCTCCTGATCTTCTACCATAGATAATATCTGTTCTTTCCACATCTCCAATTTGTTAATTTGTTGTGCATGTCCCTCCATTTTTTCCTCAGCTTCTTCAATTCGGGTTAGTATCTGACCCAGGTCAATGCGATGTGTCCCAATCTCATTTTCCATTGACATCTGTAGTTTATCAAACATTTCCACCAACTCTTTTGTAATCCCTGCTGTTCCATATTTCCTACCATTTATTGTTTCTTTACACTGGCTCTCTTCCAATGTCCCGCATGAAAGTCTGGATTGATCACTATATTCTTTGGATCTATCATTATGATTCTGCCTAGTTTGAATCTCAGGGTTTTTTTCCTGTGGGGACATTTACTTTCTTATGGTGCTTGTATTTATGCTTGATTGGGGAGTTTTAAGACCCCCCCCCTCCCTTTAGTCGGTCTACTCATTTTAGGTACGTTACAGATTGTTGCCCTCTATTCATTTATCTCAGAATACTGACCCCAGGACCATCTTTCTTCAGGAGAAAAGTCCCCGAAAGTCCCTTTATACTTAATAGGAGAGGCCCCTCCGACCCCCAGGGCCCACCACACTTAATCTTCTCTTTAACAGTGATCGAAATATGTACTGATTTTAATAGAGAAAATAACAGTTCTTTAGCAGAGTTTTGCTTGCCGTGAATATGTTGCCGCTTCTCTACTTAGTTTAGCCAGATTTCACCATGGAGGGGTCTTGGGATGTCTGGGTTGACTGCTGGGGCCAAGGGCTATTTTTGCCACTTCCATGTCTTAAATCCCCTAAGTTCTGCAGGGCTCTGTTTCAGGTACTATCCTTCGGGCAGCTCCGCGGACACCCCCAGCGCACTTCCGTCCTCAGAACGGAAAGCATAGCAGCAAAAAAGGACTACAGCAAACACATTTGTGAAGACCCTGGGGTCATGTGTCCACCTGTACTGGTAGGCCAAGGGGAATAGTCACAGATGGGGTTCTGTGCCGCCGAGCTTGAAAGAGCAAGAGGCTTTAAGGAGAGCCTCAAAACCTTCCATTCATCAAGATTTAAGACTGAGAAATAATCTATCAGGGCCACCAAAGATTTGTTAATTTAGGTGTAACCAGATCTTCCATGGACACACTGGGGATGGTTCTATTTTAAACAATGTCAAATAGTACCCCAAAGGGTTTTTTAGCACTTGAGAAAAATGGAAGGCACTGCCCAACTTCCTGGGAGGCATCCTGGCTCCACGGTTACATCATTCACTTCCTCTCCTTCCTCATTTACATTTGGAAGCAACACTGACATGGACAATAAGAGGTGGGTGCTTCCTGGCAGAGCCAATGTGTCATGTGGTCTCTAGCAGAGCATAGACTTTCCCATGAGATCTGCTAAAGATGCAGAATTTTTCTAGTAAACAGGAGAACAGGGAGTATCAGAAAAGATTAGGTGAGACTACAAAGTTGGGAGACTGGCGGTCCAAAGAGTTTTGAGGGGAACTCTGAAAAACCTCCTCAATGCCCTGTACACCAGGTTTACTGGACTAACCCCTTGTGCCATTTCCCTTCTGTATGATTTCCACCATGAGGTCGAAGAGATCCACTGAAGGGTACTCATGCCTCTAACAGTATAGAGACTGTTACTCCTGTGTCTGAGCCACAATTTGGAGCAGCGCAGAGCCAAAAGCTGCATTGCCTTGCCATATTCTCTAAATGGTATCTGGAGCTTGAGTTGAGCCAAAACACCTTCTATAGTGAGCTGGACTGTGCAAACACAACAAGCCATTTATGTGCCTAAATGGTGTAACAGGAGCTACAGGGGCTTCTCCTTTTAGTAAGAAAAGCGTCCTATGGCACAAAGAAAAAAAAAAAAATGCATAAAGTGGTGCACACTAAGCCACAGCTGTGACAAACTACTAAAAAGTGTCACAGCAGTCCTACAAAAACACAGTTCCTGGCCTAAGGAATGTTTACCTCCCACCCTTCTGTATCCAGGACTAACTCAGAGCAGGATACCGCGCAGGACTGGGTGTGCGATGTTGGGAGTTGGGTAGCACAAACCTTCTCCTTAAAAGGACTGACACGCAGTTATCTATGAGAGACAGTCAGAGCACTCATCACTTTTAAGGGCCCACTTAAAGTTACATGCGCAACAAATGTAAATATGCATTCTTTAAGTATGTGTTTATGACCCTTTCAAAGTTACACTGGTACATATTGTGAGCAAGCAGGCTTTTTACTGCAGAAGAGACATGCAACGTCTCATCTGCAATAAACTACACCTACCTGTCTGCTCACAGGGAACAATGTGCAGCTCAGCTTACCGCAGCCGGCCCGATCCCCAAGCGCCAGAATGACTAGTTCATGTGCATATGACCTCATACTGTGGCAGCCAATAAAGACAGCAGAAAAAACTGGCACAAAAGGAGAAGATGCTGGCACAGGACCATTGGAGCATTAATCTCTTTATTTATGCTTTAAGGAAGCTCTAAATTGAGTGTTTTGGGTGAGTGTGGGATGGGAACTGCACAAGTGAAATCTAAGCTGCATTGATGCTGACTCAATTTTCTAGAACTGCCCTTTAGATTACTCGATTTTGGAAATACTTGTCTAGGCCTACATACATATATACAGGGTTTTGGTTTATGTCAACAGAAAGAAATCAGATATTTTGACAAAATATGCCTTAAGTATAACGTTACCTATTAAAAAGGTGATTTGTCACTTTAATTTTTGAATTGGCTTTAAAGTCATCTGGCAGGAGCATCACTGGAACTGGAACTTGATTAAGTTCATTGACCTAAGAAAAAAAAAAAAAAAAAATTTAAGAAAATGACCACTCCTTCAACCAATGTCAAGTCATGCTTTAAAGTTTAAAAAGGTATTTTGCTTTACAGAACCTTTCTGCTCATCAGTCCTGCTCAGCACAATGGACTTTTGTATTTACAAAAGTTATCCAATAGTGAACATTTTTCAGCAACTAAAAAGAAAGCAGGCAAGTTTATAAACACCCAAAAAGTGCCAAGTATCCAGCATATAGGGAACACGCGTGCCCGCTCGCTTTTTTGGGCTGACGCATTTCGTGCCTAGGGCAGCAAATTAACTTGAATGAGCTGCCCTATGTATAACATCTCAAAGTAGCGCCAGAACGTTTTCAGTTGTGAAGCTTCAGGTCAGGCGTTTTTTTTTTTCAGTGCAGGTTTAGGTAGGTTTGAGGCACCTTTGTAACACGTTACTGCACGGCAAGACTCATCTGCCGCCCATGCTTGCGGTGCCAATAACAATTTGCAGCACGTTTGTAGTGCATTTCTAAAACGCACAATTTTGTGTGCTTTGTTGCATGTTGAGAAAATGCGTAGGTGTGAATGCAGCCTCAGTGAGACAGGGTTGTGGAAATTTTGGAAAAAAACTACTCGTACAGGGACTAAATCTGGGTCCCCCATCTACTTATCCAAATATAAAAAAAAAAAAAAAAATTAACCAAAAACCAACAGTATTTAAATCGGAGGTGCTTTTAGTAATGTCTGGGGCTTTATGGTGACTTAACCTCCCTACCGGTATGATTAGGTCAATATTTCTGTGCTCAAAGCGGTACTTTTTTTGCATGGAAATATGTCGTTTTTTTTATTGTAGGCCTGTAATTTTTAGGAATAACTCACTCAAATCTGTCCGAACAAGAGTCTAGTAAACATCCCGGGTATGATAAAATTCGAAACACGAAATCATAAATAATATAATCATAAAAAAATACATTTAATTCAATAATATAATCAAACCAAAAAAACACTGAAATTTGAAATATAGCGCCAAGTTCGCACATCACTGAGCTTAGTCGCAGAATTGTTTTCAGTGTCTGATGATGAATTTCCCCACAAATCATCACTCAATTCTGCAAGTGGTTCTAATTTACTATCACTGTTCTCTAGCTGGTCTAAAACCGCTTGACATAAAAAGGGACACTTTTTGGACGCCATGGACTTTTCTCAGTTTCAAGGCAAAAAGAACAGTAAAAATGCAGGCAGGGCACAGGACAAAGCAGTAGGGACAAAATGTATGTGAAATGCTTTATTATGTGATTTTAGTGTGTTTAGTGAATGTCACTTTTTAAAATGTTTACATTTCCCACCGGTTCCGGCCCCCGTACTTCCCGAAGCTCGCACCAGAAGACGTATGCTGGCATCGGCCGGAGGAGATGGCTGGGGACGCTGCATGGGGGACATCACGGGAGTGCAGGACAAAGTAAGTGAAACAGGGATCCCAGAGCAACGCTGCACGGTAATCCCAAGTGTAGCTCGGGGTTACCGCTTTTGGCACTAATAATTAACCCCGAGCTACACTCGGGAATACCGCCAGGGAGGTTAAACATTTAATTTATTTAACATTGCGCTGCTTATTTTCTCCTCCCCAGGGAGGGGAGAGACCTTGCTGTGTAACGATCGACTGGGTGCTCCTCAGGAAAGGGGAGTGTCGGGCTCATCCTTTATCCCTTTCGCTTACAGAGTTATTTTTGCATTTTTTGCACACGTTTAATAATTTTGTCCTTGCAGATAACACAAAACCCCCAAAAACATTTTCTGAAAGAGACCCTAGAGAATAAAATAGTGGTAGTTCCAATTTTTCATGTTGCACATTACTGCAAAGGTCTAGGAAATGCAAAATTTCAGTAAAAATACACAAGTTAATTTCAGGGCACAAGAAAAAAAAAAAAAAAAAAAAAAAAAAAAAAGCAATAAAAATTACCCTATTTTTTTGGTAAAATATAAAAGATGAGGTTGCACCAAGTAAATAGACATGCAACATGTCGAACCTTAAAATTTGCGCGCACTCGTGAACTGGCAACAAACCAGTACCCTATATTTTCTATAGGAGACCCTTTAGGTCATCAGTAGTGTGTTACGGAGGAGGACTTGTGCTAGAATTATACACAAGCCTGCGACTAAAAAGCTGTTTGATTATTTTCATTTAATTTCCATGTATTTTGGTGTGCTGAAAACAAATAAAAAATATTGAAAAAACTCCTAGACATCATGATTTGCCACAAAATGCAAAATTGTCTTCAAATTTATCAATTTTTTTTAATTTTTGGTATTTTTTTTTATATTATGGGTTTTCAACCAAATTTAAAGTCCAAATTACTATTAATTCACATAAGTGCATTTAAGACATAAAATGCCAAAAAAAAAAAAAAACCTTCGAGGGGTTGTCCCAGTTATGTAAAAAAAAAAAAAAAAAAAAAAGCACTGTATATAGCACTGTAAATCTGATGGTCAGCAATATATACATAAGCTAAGCAAGTTTTAGGGGGGGGGGGGGGGGGGGGGGGGGGGGGGGGGGGGGGGGGGGGAAAAAAAAAAAAAAAAAAAAAAAAAACTATTTCCTCATTTCCCTAGTTCTCTTCTGGCCCTTTATTTGCAGGTAAACAATCTCTGCTCCTCCCCCCCCCCCCTGCAAAGGGGGTGAATACAAGTGCTGCTCTGAGTGACATGTTTATATACTGGGATACTCAGCAGCATGCTGTATGTGTAAGCCTCAGCCCTGAGTCTGTGCTAATGGTAGAAGGGGTTAATCTTTCCTGAAGAATCCAGAGGGAGGGAAACAGGGCAGACAGCAGCAGCTCTCAGCAGCAGTCAGTGCAGGGGGTGTGGCCAGCACTGTGATGTCTCCTGTACAGACACAGAGCTGCTCTCTCCTGCAGTCCACACTTGTGCACGAATCATCATCAGGTTCTTGGTTCTAGGCTGTTCACACTTTTTCATCGCAGTTCGTGTTAGCTTGTCATTCTTCAACCGCTATGTTATGACTCCGCGAAAGTGTATTCATTCGCCAGACAGTTTCTGTTTCATTTGTGGAGAATATACAGTGTTGAAGCAACAGCAGAATATTACAGACTTTTTAGTCCAAAGTATGCAAAGTATACTTTTTTCACAAATTGGAGATCAAGATAAAGTTTGGGCGCCTCAAAGTGTGCAAACGGTGTGTTGAGGACCTCCGAAACTGGTTCAAGGGTAAAAAAAAAAAAAATCTTTCAGTTATGGGATTCTTATGGTATGGCGAGAGCAAAAGAACCATAGTGACGACTGTTACTTTTGTTCAAGCGATGTGAAAGGGTTTAATTCCAAATGGAAGCATTCCATTTCATACCCCAATCTTCACTCAGCAATTCGTCCCATCCCCCATGGCACAGATATACCAGTACCCAAGCCCCCTGCTACCTTGGAAGAGATACCTAGCTCCGATGAAGGTGAAGTCATACCTGAACCAGATGACGAATCAAGTTCTGACTTTGAAGATGATACAAGACCAAAATTGTTTTCTAATAAGGAGATGAATGATTTGGTAAGAGACTTGAATCTTCCCAAAGATGCTGCTGAGTTACTCGGATCAAGGCTGAAAAGCAGGAATTTATTGTTGCCAGCAGTGTCATCTTCATGGTTCAGACATCATGAAAAGGAGTTCGTTCCTTACTTCGCCGAGGAAGACAAGTTGGTTTATTGCATCGAATGTCGAAGGTCTGATGGGTCAATTTAAAATCCAATATTCTTCAGAGCAATGGCGTCTTTTTATAGATTCTTCAAAAAGAAGTCTCAAAAGCAGTTTTACTCCACAACGGTGGTTTTTACGCTTCCATACCTGCAGGTCATTCCGTACACTTGAAGGAAACCTACAAGAACTTGGAATTGTTTTTTTTTGTAAACTTAAAATATGAAGACCATGGTTTGGCAAGTGTGTGGGGACTTGAAGGTCTTGTGCATGCTGCTCAGGCAACAAGCTGGGTATACCAAATACCCTTGTTTTCTGTGTCTATGGGACAGTCGAGACCGACAAAATCACTGGACCAAGAAGAGTTGGCAGCCGAGGGTGCTAACAGTCGGTGAAAAAAATGTCCTCCGAGAAACTTTGGTACCTTCCCATAAAGTTCTTCTACCATCTCTCCACATAAAATTGGGATTGATTAAGCAATTCGTAAAATCACTTCCAAGAGATGGAGAATGCTTCAAATACTTGGTAACCAAGTTTCCAGGCCTGTCGGAGGCAAAAATTGAAGGAAGGTGTGTTTCTCGGACCAGACATTAGGCGGCTTATAGTTGATCAAGAGTTTGTCAATACCATGACGGATCCTCAAAAAGAAGGGTGGATTGCATTTAACGAAGTCGTACAGAAATTTTTAGGCAATAACAAAGATCCTTACTACAAAATGATCGCCGGACAAATGCTGAAAGCATTTCAAGCTTTAGGTTGCCTGATGAGTTTGAAAGTGCATTTCCTCCAGTCCCACCTTGACTACTTTCCTGAAAATTTGGGAGCTGTAAGTGAGGAACAAGGTGAACGATTCCACCAAGACATTAAAAGAGATGGAAAGGAGATACCAGGGAAAATGGAGCATTACAATGATGGCAGACTACCGTTGGATGCTTCAGAGAGACATTCCAGATGCTACTCACAAGCGTAAAATGCACAAAAAGGAGCCTCACAGGGAAGAATTGAGTTTAGAGTGTGTAGGTGAGCTCATTTCAGTTCAAAAAAAGGATTTTCATTAAAAAAATTGTAATAAAACTTTAATTTTATTTGTCTGAAGTGATGTTATGTTCTTGGGTGTAACTTTTTACTTTACTTTTTTTTTTTCCCCCATCACTTAGAAGGGAAAGTCCCCTAAAGCAACTTTCACAGCTGTACTGCCAATTGTAATGCCTGAAAGAAATCGGGTGAAAATTGAGCAGTCTGGAAAGAGGTTCAATGGCCAGGTTGAACAAAGGGGAAAGGGGACAGCCACGGAGCGTTCCCCCTTTTAGACGAAAAGAT